AAACAAAAAAAAAAGGTGGAAAATGTTTTCTCACCTATTAGGTGAAAAAACATTTTCCACCATTTGTGTATCAAAGGGTTGTACCTAGAAAAAGGGAGGAAAATATTTTCCGTGGAAAACTTCGCATATCAAACAGTCAAAAAAGTGAAAGTAGGAAAATATTTTCCTACTTCCCTGAAAAACTCCGTCAATCAAACGGAGCCTAAACAGAAAAATAGTGCCCTTTAATGAAAATAATAAATCTAGTCTTATACAAGGTTAATTGTTTAAAAAATAACTGAATTTTGGGTCGCATCATAGGAATGTTACCGAACTTTAGAATGTTGTAGAAACATCACTAAACTTTGTCAAAATGCTTTTTATCCATCATTTGTTAAGATTATGCTAGTTGGATTGGATGAATCTTCTTACGAGCAGACGGAATTCACACATGACATAAATTGTTGTTCGATTCTCTCAACTAGTGATGAATTGGGAGATCGTTGAAAAAATTCATTGATATTTTAACAACATTTTTAAAATTAGGTTTAATTTTGAACCATGAATCCATTTCCTCGATGAATTTTTCAAAAATTAGTCAAGTTCTAAAAATTTATATTTGGGATACGTTATTTTTATTTTAAATGTCTTTAACGATTGGTCTTTTAATTTTAAACATTTAACATAATTTAACAGAAAATCATTTTCTTTATATTAATTTTCAACTATACATTATTTTAATAAAATAATTTTGCACGTGAATTCATACTTTTAATCATACGTTTTTCAATTTTTCACTTCAACAAATATCTTCCACTTAATGAATTATGTAATAGATTATTTGGTAGACTAGTTGGAAGAAGTCAAGTAGTCAAGTCGATGGGCTAATATTTGATTAACTTTAGGAAATTTCATTAGGTGCCAAAAAGTGTGATACAGAAGAAATCGTGTATTGACATTAACGAAATGAAATGGCCGCAATTTGACGTGTAAGTTACGTCCATTTGTGCTTTTGTGCAGTTTTTTTTGGGAAAAAGGTCTTCCCCCGAAGTATCTTTGAACCATCGTAGACGTACGTTGCCAATCATGAATTGACACGAATTTACACATTATTCTAAAATTTGTTTTTTAAATCAACAAAATGGATCTTGATTCAAGTAACTTATCTTGGGTCGACCACTATAATGAACCCACT